TGCAGGCAACAGGGATGATGAATAATTGTGCTCTTTATGCTCAACAGCAGATGAATCAGGGACAGATGAGACAACTGTTATCGCAACAGACACAACTCACATCACCTCAGGTATTTTTTACCTTTCTTACAGTGATGTATTGACCACTTCGGTATGCTGTGGGTTTTCCCCTTAATTTGTTCAGTTATAATTGTTCAATTTGACAAATCATTTTCATCGGTAGGTGACTAGGTGCAATTCATCCAGTTTATCTATGGGTAGGGAAGTTCAATTTGCACTAATATAGAAGTTTCGTTTGAAGCAGTACATATTTTTTACTACATATTGCTCTTTAGTTATTCTTTGGCTTATGTCCACTCAGACTAGATGAATAAAATTTTAATTTTATTCTTATAACTGGAAATTCACAGCTTTAGGTTGCACAGATTTTCTGTAATATGTATAGGATTAATACCCAAGAAGTGAAATGGAAATCATGTATCTCCAATACCACACAATCATTTTGGGGAAAGGTCTAATTTCCTTTGACTATAGTTGGAATAGAAGCCAAGTTTACCCAACATGCTATTTAGCTCCATAAGTTAACTAAAACCGAAGATGTTATGTCATCCCTTTAATTGAAGTTTATTTCTTAACCTGCCTTGTTATTCCATTGCCACCTTTGGTGGATATTTTATGGGGTAGGAAATACATAAGACATTTTTTCATGTGGCTCTTCAATTGAAGTTTATTTCTCATCCCCACTTTAAACTACAGGTTCAAAGCTTACAAAGAACATCTTCTCAGGCATTTATAAACCCTCAGTTATCAGCTCTAGCTCAGAATGGACAACCGGGTATGATGCAGAACTCTCTCTTGCAGCAACAGTTGTTGAAACAAATGCCGTCAATATCTGGTGCAGGGTCATCTTCCTTCCGCCTTCAGAGGCAGTCACAAATCCTCTTGCAACAGCAACTCGCTTTTTCTTCACCTCAGTTGCAAAATTCAATGGGCTTGAATCCTCAACAATTGCCTCAGCTAGTACAACAACAGTCACAAATGGGGCAATCACAAATGCAGCAGCAACTGCAGCAGCAGCTACAACAACAGCCTCAACAACAATTACAACCACAACAGTCACCGTTGCATCAGCAACAACAGCAGCAGTCTCCAAGGATGCCCGTACTTGCAGGCCAGAAAACTCTCAGTTTGACAGGCTCACAGCCCAATGCAACTGCATCTGGTACAACCACACCTGGGGGAAGTTCAAGCCAAGGAACTGAAGCGACCAATCAACTTCTTGGAAAAAGAAAGATACAGGATCTAGTTTCACAGGTTTTTCCTCCTTTTGACTTTGTCTTGTTCATTCATTTGTGTTAGTTTCTGATCATTTTCTTCCTTCTTTTGTTGTGGCATCATTTTTTGGCTATGTTCAGGTTGATTCACAAGGAAAGCTGGAACCTGAAGTTGAAGATCTACTTCTGGAGATTGCTGATGATTCATAGACTCTGTAAGGCTCTGCTAAGATAGAATATATCTTATTTAAAGGCTTTACCGTGTTGATGTTGCCTTTATGATTTTGGGATTGTGGGTACATGGTTCCGACACTTAAGTTTTAGTTTCTGGTGTAATCAACCACACATCATAGTATAGGTAACCTTAAAGGCTGAGCTGCTACAAATATCAATATGGTTGCTAGGTTAGCAATAGGATATCTCTTTATGTCAAATATAACTTGAATATTACAGAATATTTTTAAGGGACTATATGACATTCTTCCTGCAATATTTTGTGCTTAGACTGAAGAGAAAATATTTTGGACTCAAAAGGTATTTGATATTTATAACCATGATTTTGAGAAGAAAAGAGTTTTTTGATTGTTATAACATGATAGAGTGCTATAAATTTAACTTCTCCATCAGTTAGTGCCTAACTATCTAGTTAGTATTTATTCTCTTTCTTTCAATCTTCTTATTTTTGACCATTTTCTTTCATGCCACCTTCTAGGTACCTTCATTGGTAGTTAGGTAATGGAATAATGGTCTTCTTCGTTTAAAGCTTGTATCATTTGACATGTTTTCAGGTGACTACATTTGCATGCAATTTGGCGAAGCATCGGAAATCTTCAACATTAGAGTCCAAGGATATCTTACTGCACTTAGGTTTGTGATTTGTATTGCATTTGCTTGGAAAATAACATGTTAATATAAGGATACAACAAAACTAAATAAATTCTGTTGCTGGTGTCACAAGCTTAGACCATAGCTCCAAGCTTGTGTGGCTCTTGAATCCTGGAATTGACTCTTCTGAGATTCTAGATTAGCCTTCCACATATGCCCTGGCTGTCAGAAAATTTCTAAAACATACCATAATGGGTATCTTATGTTAAATTATGTAGTATTTTACTGTGCCATTACTGTGGGATTGTAGAAATTTTTATATGTTGTCTGCATAAGACAACCTTTTAGAGCTTCTTCTTTAATTGTAAGTGAAAGTTTAATGAATTTTGTACATGGGAGTACAGAGAAAAACTGGCATTTGACTATTCCAGGATTTTCAAGCGAAGAACGGGACCAAACAAGACCCGTAAGGATTTCTCTTCATCGTTTTTGAGATATCAGCAAACAAAATGTCTTAGAATCTTGACTTTAATGCATGTGAATTCAAATTTTCATTTCAAGGTTATTCATTTCTTTTTGGGAACTCAGTTTGACACGTATTTGTAGGAGACAATATTTTCTCTAACTATTATCTTTCTATTTACATTTAACTTTGCCTATTCAATCAAGCCTTCTTGAGCTGTCTTCTCTAGCATTTCTTCTGATGTTATTAGCATAAGCACCTTTTTTTGTATATGGAAATCTTTGATTATTTGCAAGATGAGAAAGATTACAACTGACGAATTTGAATCCTGTTTCTAAAACATGCAGTTATCGAGTGACCTCCACAAGAAGCGTCTTGATATGGTGACTGAAATTTTCAGTACTAATGTTTTACTTTTGTCTTACTCTCAAGCATTAAAACTTTTATGTTTGTGCAAATTTCTTGATTAGATACGAGCACTGATGGAATCGTCACAGCTCGAAACAAATGCAAATAATCCTAAAGAAATGATGAGACAAGGGGTTGGCAATGCAGCTGGTGCAAACCATTTAATGAGACCTTCACCAAGTTCCGAGCAGTTGGTTTCTCAAGCAGCTAGTTCACAAATGCTGCAGCAAATAACTCGATACTGACTAAAAGTTGTCCATAATTTGGATCCAAATTCCTTTGTTTTTGGATCAACTGTAGGTGAGCAATGTTATGAACTTTCATTAATGATTTAGTGTCTCATCTTTTGTAACTGCCCTGATCGGTATTACTTTATTGCTACGTTACTCAAACTTGAGGGTAGGGTATATAAGCATACAAGTATGTCTCCGATATGGGTATGCTCATTTTTTTTAAGTCCTTATCCTCCGTGTTTGGAGGGTCATATCCTCATACCCATGTTCGGAAATATGTCGAACATGGATATTTCATGACAAACAAAGAGTCGAAACAACATAGATTTATTGTCTACTTGTCTATGTTGTATCTTGAGCATATGGAATCCATATTGATAGACATTCTACACATTATAGGTTATAACCTGAGGGGGAAAAGAAATCTGACATGCACTACCCATTTTCAAAGATGAAATATAAGTAGTTTCATTGCCAAGCAACCATGACCAACTTGCATTCAGCAATTATTACATGTCATTCTAATGTCATCCTTTATTCCGATGATTCGGATAGAGATTACATGTCATGTTTGACACTGGCACTCAGGTTTGAGTAACATAGGCTAGACTTGCCCACGTCATTCAACGCTGTCCGGGACTCTGGATTATACTAAAGTTCGTGTCTGTCAGTATGAACTTCCATTCCCTATTTAATTCGAATTTAACTGCAATATTTTTGACCACCTCTTTTGGAGGTTATAGTAACTGAAGCTTGACTAAAGCAAAAGCTATAATTACTTGCTAAGTATCAAAGAAATTGAACTTTTTAAAAACTACCGCGCTGTTTGACCATCTAGTTTATGTTGTAAGTGTATATATTAATGGAGTTTATACAGCGAGTTTATTATCCCGGTTTAAGCTTTATCGTCCTCCGTCACATATAGAGCTTGGCCTTGGCCTGTATCTGTGCCGTGTTCTTTGTTATTTTTTTTTTTTTGAAATTAAGATTTGGGTTGGATACGAGTTTAGAGTGAAAAATCCTTGACTCAGGATAATAATATAATTCTTCTATATACATTTAGAGGCAATTGTTATAATATCTCTCTATGTATTCTTTCAATTAGGTATTTTTTTATCGAATAGCAACGATAACTTTTAATCGGGTATGGTGTGTACCCCAGAATTCAGGTTGAATTTCGGATCAAATGAATCTTTCTTTAACTCTGGGTCGAGTCAAATTCAGGTCAGTAAAAAATTTGACCGTCTCTAATTATTATATATCTGTCAAAATATGATAATATTTATGGATATTCAGTTCGGATCAAATGAATTTTTTATCGGGTACGATTTATGAACACGACACTAACGAGATGTGGTCCAAATAAATGAGAGACCACCTTTCCAATCGTCATAATAATTACATTTCAAGAATGACTATGAGCATGATGATACCAGATAGTGTCAATTCAAATATTTATGGATATTCAGTTTGGAATGAACGTATCTGTTATATCTCAAACAATCATTATATAAATTTAATTTATTTTTTCCGATAATGAATTTGGATTCAAATATTTATTATTGAATCTATCAAGTGACTTTAGTGATAAAAATATATTATTGTTTCCAAAGATGCGAGTTTGATCAGTTATGTCTGTAAGGTGTATGTGTTGTTAATTGGTTAAGAAAGTTATGAACATATATTATCTTATAATCATTTCAAATTATTTAAAAGAATTATTCGTTCTAGTTTTCCGATAACCAAAACCATTAGATGCCATATTATTATTAAATTCAAATACCCAGTGGCTTTGGATGTCCAACGAATAATTTATTTAATCTAGATTGCTCCAACACGATGTTAAAATTAAAAAAAGATACTCATAAACATGGGTTAAAAGTATGCAATAACAAGGATTATTAAAATTGGTAATCACGGTTTAGAAGGGATGATCAACTCGAAACAAATGATACTACTAACTTATTGATCTCATCAGGTGACTCCATGTTTGCAGCATGCCCTGCACTCTTGATTATCTCCAACCTTGAACTTGAACCCAAGTGCCTAAATCCCATCCAAATTTATCCCAAATAATTATTCATAATGAGAGATTAGAAAACACTTAAAATTGTAATTAGTGAAAAGAGAACTTATTCCTTCACCTTTGTAGTTTGAATGCAAGTTCTATTGGAAAGACCTTATCATGTTCCCCCCAAATTATCAGCATTTCCTACATCCAAATATTAAAAACCCCAATCCATTAGCTTCAAGATTAGTCTCTTACTACAAAAGTATTGTACACAAACATTTAAATTCAAGGGTAAAGTTCATTAGAGGCCATTAAACTATGCCAGCAATGATATTTTTGGCCAACAAGCTTTCAAACATTTACAAAATGATTATTAAACTCATCGAATTGTTACAAAATGATCCCTACATGCTACAAATAGAAACAAATTCCAATAATTTTTATAATCATTCTGTAATAATTGGATAAATTTAAATGATTATTTTATAATCAATTGAGAAATTTATGACTACTATATAATATTGAAAATTCACTAGTCAAAAATATTATTTTGGCATGGTTTAGGGACCTCTAGTGTACTTTACCCTCAAATTTAATTATACAAGCATATAAAGTTCAGCATAAAATATTGAATTATATCAACTACAAACGCGACGGCCGAAAACAAAAGGCAACAAGCGGAAACATGGATTGGAGGAAGCAAAACCTGAGGGATAGCAGGAAGATTTGTGTCGGCTTTCTTCTCCACCAAGTAATTCGCAAGCTCAACCTTCTCTTTCCGGCAATGGTCATACATCAGCTGCCACACACACTCAACCCTTGAATTTCTCATCCTTCCACGGTATTCACAACGCCATGTTATTTTAGGGTTTAATTATGATTTTAGTCCCCGTGCTATACAAAAAGTTGGAGTTCAATCCTTCATTTTAATTTGTTGAGTTTACAAATTTATTGAAAATTAATTAAGGTGTCATCAATTAAACTTTAGCTTTAAAATCAGACAAGTATAGAGACTAAATTTTAAAAAACCAAAGAGAAAGAGAACTGAGCACATAATTAAACCATTAAACTTAACATAGTAGAGGGACTGAAACGACAAATAGACCTTGGTTCTGCGAGAGGGAATATGAAGCATCGAACTTACGGTTATGAACTGCCGAATGAAAAAATCAGGGACCCAATTCAAAGCATTTTCCTTGCACATTGATAGTTTAACCAGCAACCTCAAATCATCGGGTTTCTTCGGCACAAGAATCTCTGACGGATGCCGTCCGATTTCCGTCAGCTGCGCCGTCCTCTGTTCGTCGGAATACAACAGTCCACTACTCATAATAACCATTCTCTCCACCGCGTCCGGACGCATCTCCGCCATCCGGTACGCCACAAACCCGCCGTAACTGATGGCGTAAACGGAGAACCGATCGACGCCGAGCTTCCCCAGCCCATTCAACAAGCATTTCGCCTGGAACAAATCGGATCTGAGCGGGGATTTCGAATAGGATCTACCGAAGAACAACAAATCGGGGATGAACAAATTGAACCTTCGCGACAGAGGACCCACTTGGTAAATGAACTGCCAGAGAGGGTTCCCGCCATAGCCATGAACCATGACGAGAGTCGGCTGGTCGAATCGACGGTGATTGGTAACCCAGAAATGGAGGGTGGTTTGATCGTCTAAATCAAGGGCGACGGGGGAGAGATGGCATGAACGGAAATAGAGGGACAAGATTGAATCCATGAATTTGACAATGGACTGGTTAAAGGTGAGGATGTGAAGAACAAGGTTACGGAGAAGGGTTAGTGTTGTTGAGAGATAGAAGGAGATGAGTTGCCATAGATTTTTGGATTCCATTTCTGAAACAAAATAACTGTTTTGCTTTTGAGAATTTGAGTTTCAGATATATATATATATATATATATATATGTTTCTTTTAATATTTTTGTAGAAAGTTTTTATAATTGGAAAAGTCGTGTGGCAGTCTAATATATGAATAAATAAAGATGTTATTAGTTTTATTGTTATTATTTTAATAAAATTTGTAAAAATTTATATAAAATATTATTATTTCTATTAATTTTATTATTAGATATTTTATTGAGTTTGGTAATATATTTGATAAAGTATTACTTAAAATATTATTTTTTTACCGAACGTATTATCAAATTCGATAAAAATACCCAATAATAATAAAATCGGTATAAATAATATTTCCAATTAAATTTGAAATTTTCAAAAATTTAAAAAGTTTTTAGTTATGATTGGAATTATGTGTTAGATTTTACTGGTGCAAAAAAAATTTACCATATAATATATTATAATGTATAAATTTATATATTGTATTAATTATAAAAGATTTGTTTAAAAATACTACAATAATTATATTTATTTGGTGATTTAAAAATTAATTATATTTACATAAATGAAACTACTCTTAATAATAAAAGAATTATTAAACATTATAATAATTATACTTATTGTCAAATAATTAATTTTTTTAAACATATATTATCTTTTATTTTTCCATATTATTCTATATCTATATATATTTCAACACTATACGTAAAAGATGGAGACAACTGTTTAATGGACTTAAAATTCAGAAACACTTCACTTTCACGACAGGTATTAATAAAATCTTAAAACTTAATTTTTTTCATTTAAATTCAAAGTTTATTGTGTGGTTTCCATGCTATGATTTGATCGTTGTATGGCCGACAAGTGCATGTGGAGCTGATTAAATCTTGTGTAATATATTCAAAGGTAATATTAATTTATATTTATGGATAAGGATGTAAATTTAGCTTTTATTTTAATATTATTAATTACATTGTATTTTTTTGGCTCAAGAATAAAATAAGTACCCATATTATATATATTTTTAATAGATGTATAAAGTATTTTTCGGCCTAAAGTTATAAACATTATCATTTTAAGTGTTTCGGTATTAACGACTATTAAAAACTTTCCGTTAAGTGACACATGTCACAAACTTAAAATTTTGAAATATTTATTTAAAAAAACACAAAAAAAAATCATAATTTTCTTCTCCTTTCGTCATTTTAATTTTTATTGCTAAACAATCAAAATTCAACCATCCAACCTATCAAATGTTCAAGGGCCAGTTTCCACAATCGATTAAACAGTCAATTACTACGATCGATCAAATGAATTTAAGAGATTTGATATTTGAGATTTTAGGTATTAGATATTGAAATTTAAGGAATTGTAAATTTTTTGTTTTGAAATGATATTAAGAGTTATAACCGGTTAGTGGGTTGTTGACTACGTAAGGGTGGTTCGCCACTGGCGATTATGTGGCCAGAGATGACCGGTGGTTGGAGTAAATAAGATTAAAATAAGAGATTTTAAGAGTTTAATTTTTTTTGGTATTTTAGAAAAAAAAAGGGTTTTTCGCAACTAAAATATTTTTAAGTATTTTTAAATAAAATTTTAAAATTACCAGATTGTGACATTTGTTGCTTAACAGGGTTTTTTAAAGGCCGTTAACATCGAGACATTTAAAGTGGTAACATTTGTAACGTCAGACACCTAAAGTGGTAACGTTTATAACCTTAAGCACATAGATGGGCCGAAAAATACTTTAGGTACCTATTCAAAAAAAAAATGATATAGTTTGGACATTTATTTTATACTTAGGAGATTTCTAAGTAGTATATGTTCTAAATAGTTTTACCTATTTGACAATAAACTCTTAATCACCTTGCTGCAGCCATTGGTGCTCGAACATGTGACGTTAAGGAACAAAAACAATTCCTTTAACTATTGAGATAAGTTGGTTCGTGCAATTACATTGTATTTGATTAGTGAATTTGGTTCAATTGATATTATTGGTGATATATCATATAGGAGAATATAAGTTTAAATATATTTAAATGTTTAACAATTTTTAATTTATGAATGAAAATTAATTTAAATCAAAGTATATGATGTAAAAAATTAATTTAAACATCATTAATATTTTATTTTATGAGTTTATAGAGTTAATACATTTTATTATTATTTTAATTAATCACTTATATCCATCAATTAATCGATTAATTTAGATCAAGTTTTACGTAGGTTCAGTTCGATGATGACTCTCCTAACCCAGTTTACTCCATACACAAATATCAGGATTTAAACTCCTAATCTTATTTAAAGAATCTAGTGTATCATTCCACTAGACTAAATGGTTGTTGGTTAATAAATTTTATTTTTAACTAATATTAAAAATAGATTTTTTTGATAAATTAAGGTGAATAAAAAGTATTATCAATTCAAAAACCCTCAATTAGTTGACAATAAATATTCGTACTTTTGATATATACCGTGCTCGAATATAAAATTTTAAAAGATAACAATAAATCTCTAAACTTTTTAAAATTTAAATATATTATTAAATATTAATAATCGAGTTTGAATTTAAGCATAAACGCCAATCTATATATTAGTATTTTAGACTATTTAAGTGTGTTTACGTATTTTTAAAAGATTTTTTGATCTGAATTCTCTGTTATGTGTAGGAATTTACATCTAACTCAAATTTGATATATTTTAATTTAATCTGATTTTATAAAATTAAATATGTGGATGAAAATTTTGGATCGAGTTAGATTTGGTTGAAGTCGGATATAGAATAAAAGATACTCGTCTTGATTCGATATAAGAATAATAGTATAATCAATATTTATATATTTAAGAATAATTACTATAATACTTGTCTTTCCCTATTTTTGTTCAATTAGGTCTTATTTCACCTAACAAAAATCAGAACTTTATATTTATGTTTGTGTCGGATCAGATACGAGTTTTTATCCTAAAATAAGTTCAAATATAATTTTTCTAACCTTAAATCAAATAACAGGTGAAGAGGTGTTATACTCCGATCGAGTTTGGATAGGTTAGAAACTCATGTGACTCTAAGTTCATCCCTAATTATGAGTCTAAATATCTTTGCTTTAAATTAGAGCTCGGGTTCACCTTTGGAGGTGAACATTAATTCTAAGAAGAAACGTAAAGAGGACAAAACAATGAAACTTTTTCCTGGCAAGGAAGCAATTGATATAGAGGCTGAGGGTGGGTCAGAGTTTGTCGTGGAATCTTGGACTCAATCTGGTGAGAACTTGGGCAACCGTGAGGAAGCGAACGCGCCTAAACTTTCGTATGTGCACATGGTTGCAAAATCAAGTGTCGTGATCAGGGACGAACCGTCTTAGAGTGAAATTGACGAGATAGAGGTTCTGGATGAAGACTGTGTAGTTGATGATATTAGACCTTTTACTACTATTCGATTTTCTGATAGAGTACATGACCGGATCGATAAACCAGTGCATGAAGCAAGTGCTTTTTATTCGATTGCTTGGTAGGGCTATAAGATACAAGAAGCTGTTGGCTCGGATTCTTCTCTTTGGAAACCAATGGGTGAGGTCTAGTTAGTGGACTCGGAGAATAACTACTTTCTAATTAAGTTTTCGAAGAAACATCCGTCTGAAGTGCTCATTTGGGTGAGGTTCCAATGAATTCCATACCGCTATTATTCAAAAGCTTTCTTTCGTAGAATTGTTGCGGCGATCAGTCGGATAGCGCGAATGGATTACAATCCAAAAGTGGTCTGGGATTTAGGTTGAGCAACTCACATGGTGTGGTTCATAAGACTTCAGGGAGAATTTTCACCGAGGGAATAAATCGTGTAGGGGGCAAGTTACTCCTACTCCAAATGCCCGGAAATGGGTGCATAAATTTTTGCAACATTTAGATGGTGTTGGTACCAGGAATGAGCATACCGTAAATGATCAGATTCATGCTCGATTACAAGAAGCTGATTTTGTTAGTGATAATGTTTCGATGGAGGCTTCAGATGAGATGTAGGAGTGGAGACTGAGCTCTAACTTGGGCCATGTTCGACTTTTTTCTCGTACTTTTATAATGATTAGTTGTATGTTTTAGAATCGTCAAGGTTGTGAAGAATTTAAAGTTTTCTCATTCTTTCAGAGTGGAGGCACACGATTTTAGTCGTAGGATACGGATGTTACGAGACGATGCAGTGAATCTCAAAACTTTGACTGTTTCTAATCATTTTGTTCATTCGATTTTCCTTTGCAACCTTGAGGTTTTTCTACGCGCTGAGTTAAGACATTGTTTTGGTTGAAGATGAGAGTTTTTGGAGACAAAAGGTATGCTCAAATTTGACACACTAGGGGGATCTAAATACTAAATACTTTATGCATCTGTTATGTCTAAACGTATAAAGAGTAAAGTCACGGCTCCTAAGACTGAAGATAGATTATATAGTGCACGGACGAGGATAAGCTTCAAGCACTTGCAATTCAATTTTACCATTGGTTGCTACAAAGCAAGGAAAGGACTATGTGTCTGATTATTATTGAGGGTTATTTCCTTCTATTTCGAGATTATAGTTAGATGGTTTGGATATGACCCTTACGGATGAGGAGGTGTGGTTGATATTTTTCGAGATGGCACCACTTAAATATCATCTGGGATTGATGGCATACATGTTGCTTTCTATCAAAAGGATTGACACGTTGTTGGCGACGCGATGTATAAGCATATTCAGGGAATTTTTGAAAATGATCAGTGGTATCCAAGCTTAACCAGACATTGCATGTGCTATTGCCTAAGGTCGAGTTGCCTGAGATGATTACACAGTTTCACCCAATTAGTTTGTGCAATGTGATTTATAAGGCTATTGCTGAGGTGATTGTGGATCGGTTGAAGCCTTTACTTCCAACTAGGGTTTCAGAAAACTAGTCGAGTTCTATTCCAAGCCGTTCTATTGTAGACAGTATTATTATCATGAAAGATGTCATTCATTTTATGAAAGACAATGTAATACTACCCAATCTAAATATATAATCAAATAAGAGA